GCTTCTTTGAAGCACCCCTGCTTCTTAGAGGGCGCGGGCCTTCTCTGTAGACGTAAGGCCGAGGCCTTCTAAGAAGCAGGGTGCTTCTAAGACGCCTTCCCCCCTCCCCCCTGCCCCCCTTGTGCGCGCCGCCAAGTCGTGCGAGCCACGAGCAGGCCCGCCGGGGCCAGGTCCCGGACCCCGGTCTCGCCGGGCGGATCGCGCCTGCCGGGCTCGCCGGGCCCGCCGCGCGTGGCTCGGGATCGTTGAGCTTCGCCTGTACGTACTATCCACGGTGTACCCCTAACGTGGCATCCGCCAGCCGTCCTCGACATGGTCACAGCTCTCTTTCAGGAGGGGAAAAACCACACAGACACAGTGAATCCTCGATTCCCCAGAAAACATGGGAAACTATGGGAAGTGGGGGGGGAGACAGAAACCCAGAAGATATGGGAAAATATGGGGAACATTTTTATTTGTGTGTATTTATTTGTGTGTCCTGGGGCCCTTCACTCTTATCCTGACGCAGCTCAGCTTAGGTCGACGTCGCCCAGCTCAGGCCTGGTCAGGTCAGCTTCCCCGGCTGCTCTTCCGCTGGGTCCCCGGCCCCCGAGCAAGGCACCGTGCGCAGTGGCCTGCGTCGGCTGCGCCCTGTTGTCCTAGTCTGTAGCTCTTGCTCGGTTGTCTCGGTCGTTGCCTCCTTTTACCACTGTTTGCGCTGCTGCTGCTGCTTTCACTCTCTTCTCTCTCCCCTCTCTACCTCCACGCCTTCTCCTCTTTGCCGTCCTCGTCGTCGTCAGCATTTTCCTCCCGCTCCTTCCCCTGCCCTTCTTTCGATTCCTGCTCCTGCCCCTCACCGCATCGTGGTTAGCAGCGAGTTTCTGCTCCTGCTCCTCCTGTCCATGTCCTCGTCTCTCTCCCTCCTCCTGCTCCTGCTCCTGCTTCTCCTCCTCATCCTCTGGGGAACTGCTGGGGCAGGCTGGTTCTCTCCATGGTCGAAAGAGCCTTGCCTCAGACATCGGTTCGACCCTTTCTATCAGTCTGGACTTTGTCTCGTCGTCGTCGTCCTCCTCCTCTTCCTCCTCCCCATCTCCCTATCTCTCTGTTTCTGCCCTGTCTCGCCTTCAGGATAATCTGAGCGGCGCGCACTGTGCTTCCAGCCGTGGTTTCTTTTTCATTCATCCGTCATACTCGTAGTTTCAAGGGATGGCTCATGAACAAAAGCATCATTCGAGAATGTGCAGCGAGGTTGGTCAAGCTGCGCAGGCAGGTGGCGGCCAAAGGTACGCAACAGGAGTGACAGGAGCGTGGTGGGCGTTATCATTGAGAGTGCCAGTTCACTCCTCCAGGGAGGATGTATGACGTGTGGGAGACCCCTGGCAAATGTGCGTGTCATGCAGGGTGTGTACTGGTGAGGCCTCACGGCTCGTTCCGCCGACACCGAAGGGGGACCAGTAAGCACGGGAAGGCCGCGGTGGAGCAGAGATGCGCACGAAGGCACGTCGACGATTATTTCAGAACGGCTTCAGCAGCCCCTTGAGACTGGGGAAGAGACATGATACCATGCCACCTCTATCGAAGACGGCCACGGCGAGTCACCGCCGCCGCCCCTGCCTATCGGAAGCGCCTATGTGGCCGAACGTTGCGGCCAGAGTTCGGCTAAGCTATCGGACTACGTGTTCCCCCAGCGGTTGTGGAATCCCTTCGGGGAACACGTGGGGAGAAGGAGAAGAGGAGAGAGGGAGGAAAAGGGAGGAGGAGGAGAAGGAGGAGGAGGAGGACCATGAGGAGGAGGAGAAGGAGGAGGAGGAGGCCTCTTGGGAGCCTCTTGGGGCACTCTCGGGGCCTCCCGGGAGCTTCCTGGGGGCCTCTTGGAGGTCTCTTGGGGGGGACCTCCTTGGACTTCTTGTGGTCCTTTGGAGGCTCCTTACGAGGCTCTTTTACAGTTTTAAGGCTTTCTTGGCCCGTCTGATGCCGTCTGACGCCGTCTTGGGTCCTCTCTGGACCGACTTGGGGCCCTCTTGGGGCGCTTCAGGGCTGTGTTGGGCCATTTAAGGCATCCCGTAGGTTTCAGGGCCATCTTGGGGCCCTCTTGGGGCTGTCTTGGGGGTCTCTTCGGCCATCATGGGGCTATCTAGGAGGCCTTTTGGACGACCTTGGGGCGATCTTAGGGGCCTCTTGAGCCGTCTCGGGCCGACAAGGTGCTAATGCCCAAGTCATCAACAAAAGCGTATGGAACAATATTGCGAAGGCCTTACGGCTGGTGCCGCCGACCCTGAAGGGGGACGACGACGACGACGACGACGACGACGACGACGACGACGACGACGACGACGACGACGACGACGACGACGACGACGACGACGACGACGACGACGACGACGACGACGACGACGACGACGACGACGACGACGACGACGACGACGACGACGACGACGACGACCGACGACGGACGACGGACGGACGACGACGACGACGACGACGACGACGACGACGACGGACGACGACGACGACGACGACGACGACGACGACGGACGACGACGACGACGACGACGACGACGACGACGACGACGACGACGACGACGACGACGACGACGACGACGACGACGACGACGACGACGACGACGACGACGACGACGACGACGACGACGACGACGACGACGACGACGACGACGACGACGACGACGACGACTACGACGACGTAGGTCAGAGTCCTCAGGGATTCTGTTTGGGGTCTCTTCGGATCGCTCTCGGAGGCCTCCGGAGTAATTTTTGGGGCCCCCTGGGAGCATCTTGGAGACCTCTTGGGAGCCTCTTGGGACTTCCTGGGGGCCCCTTGGGAGCCTCTTGGAGCCTCTTGGGGGCCTCTTGGGGGCCTCTTGGGGCCTCCTGGGAGCCCGTCGTTGCGGATGGCTCAACATGTCCGTTTGGTTCCCCTGTTTGGGTGCCCCTGTCTGGGCACCCTCGTGAAGCCCTCTTGGGAGCTTGGGCCGTCTTGCAGGCGTCTTGGGCCGTCTTCGAGCCCTCTTTGGCCCGTTTCGGGACCCTCTTGGGGGCCTCTTGGGGCGATCGTTGGAGCCTCTTGGGCCGTTTCGGAGCGTCGGGAAACTGAAAAGGCGAGAACGCCCCAATCCTTGAAAAACTATAGGGCAATCAATGAGTGTTGCCTCTTGGGGCTCTCTTGGGAGTGCTCTTCGAAGCCTCTTGGGGCGTCTTCTAGCCCCCTTGGGCCGTCTGGAGGCCGGGACCGTCTTGGGGGCCTCTTGGGGCACTTTTGACTCGTCTTGGTACTTTTTTGGGTCCCGGGCACCCCCAGTGGGATGTGGCATTCTGACCGGGACCCCCCCCCCAGGACTCCCCTTCCCCCCCAGCGGGGAAGGGATCAAAAGGAGGAGGCTTCCCTTCGACTCATCTACGACGTTGCTGAATTTCGCTGTGGCTAAGTTGCTTGAGGAGAAGGGCGCGATGAACGAGGGGGAGAGGCGACGGGCGCAGGGAAAGGGGAGGCGCGGCGGCGACCAGGACGACGACGTCGAACGGCGGCGACGACGACGACGACGACGACCACGACCTCGACGACGACGACGACGACGACGACGAGTCAAACGGAACAGCGCATTCCACACGCCGACATGGTCGGCGGATCTTAGCCTCGTCGGGCCTTCCTGGAGGCCCTCTTGGAGGCCTCCTGGGCCGTCTTGGAGGCCTCTTGGGGGCATCTTGGGGTCTTCTTGGGCCATCTTGAGCCCAGCTTGGGCCGCCTTGGTTGCTTATCTTGCGGACTTGGAGGCATCCTGCAGCCATCTTCGGCCCTCTCCGTGCCACCTTGGCCGTCTTTTGGACATCATTTTGGAGGCCATCTTGGGCCATCTTGGCGATTAGGGCAACTTTTTTCTGGTGTTAAATATCATAAGCGAACAATAGTGAATGATGATATGAACATGAAAAACAACAAAAGCCTGCCAGACGTTTGGCACGCCGGCCGTGCACCCCCTGCTGCAAGGCCACAAGAGGGGGGCGGCGGCTCGCAGCCGCCTGCCGCGCGAATCACCGCCGCCCCCCCCGCCTTCCAGGATTCGGAGGTTGATAGACCTCCTAACCTGACACGTCGATCAGCGAATTGGCCGTTTTCGGTTCGCGAGAGGGCGTCGCGGCCGTCATTTTTGCGGGTCCAGAGGTCCGTCGGTTTCGGTCCTAGTCCGTTTTCACTCCATGGAGGTTTATTAAAGGGAGGTTTGTCCA